GACGCGCGCCGCCCTTGAAGGCGCTGTCAGCTATGGCACTGCAGTTTTGGGCCTGAACAGCGGTGAGCTCAACCGATTGCGATCACTGGCTGGCAAGTTACATGACCATCATCCTGACTGCCGATCCAGAACACTGGCTTTGATGATTGCACCGGACACTGAATTGGATTCGATCTTTCGTGCTACGCGGCTGTCAACCAAGTTTCTTCTGCAGTACTGGTGGGAAGAATGGTTGCCGAGGAGGTCTACCACGGTCGCGGTCAATGCCGTTGCTACCCCTGTTGCAACGCTGTCTACGCCGTGGCGGTCTATTCGTGGGCCTTTCCTTGCTACCGTCGCTGCCTTGCACCGAGTTGGAGTGGTTGTTGAATCGATGACAGTATAGATTCTGCCTTGCGGTTCCACCTGGAGACCCGCCGAGGTGTACATCGCTGTCATTCGCGTCTTAATTTAGCCCATCGTTAATTTCCTTCGGTCCGAGGCCCTTTTCCCAACATCGTGCGCATGTGAGGTCTTGTTTCATCGGGGGCCAATGGCCGGTGTATCGCCAGTGGGCTGCTGGCTACGATGTGCAACCCTTTTGCAGTGTCTGCCTGCAGGTGCGTGAGTCTGAAGTAAGTGGCACGCTCTTGCAGCGGCATACCATTTGTGAGCGTGCTGATTTTACTGACTGGGAAAGGACCGCCTTCTTTTCTCCCTGGCCTTGTCGAGGCCGCTGTGAGTTCTCCGTTTGCGTATGTGTTGGCCGAGAGGTGCATTGTTCCCATGCCTGAGCTCCGTAGGCCTGATGATGAGAACGTTCCTTGGGAGCTTTGGTACATCGGCTTCCTTGAAGACCTCGCGGAGGATTTGTTTATGGATGGGTCGCTCTTTGGAGGCGACTGGCCAGAGTATGCGGCTGCAGGATGGGCGGTGTGTGCTTTGTCGTCGTCGTCGCTTGGTCGTCGCGCGCTTCGACAGCCGCGAGCCATTGCCTGCGGCCCTCTCTTGACCATTCTTCCGTCCACTAATGAAGCCGAGCTGGCTGCGTTTTGCTTTGCCCTCAGGCATGAAATGCCAGGCGGTGCGATCCATGCTGACAGTGACTACGCGTGGAGAGGAGTCTGTGTGCGAGGCCAGCAGGAATGTTGCCATTGCCTCTCCTCCCGTGCTGTCTTGTGGCGTGATGTTTGGAGGCTGGTTCACGATAGATGTGGTGATGACTTCATTCGGCTCGTTATGAAGACCAAGTCTCACCCTTATGTGGAAGATTTCCGTCTCGGACGCACCACTCCGAGGCCCAATGCAGGTAATTGTCTTGTCGGCATTTTTCGCTCGCTGGGCTGGGCAGGCGGCCCGTCTGCCCGAGGTTCAGCGTGACCTCATCCAGCGTCGGTTTCAGATCTTGAAGCAGTGGGCCAGGTTGTACGCCAGTGTTGGGGAGGGCGACGACACGTTCCACCCGTCGCAGGTTCAGAGAGGCCGCCCTCCCCAACCCACCCTCCATCTTGTGCAGGACAGGCCAGTTTCCTTGTTTGAGCGTGCTGCTGCTGCCTCTCGAAAATTTCTCAGTGAGGGTCTTGCTCCGCATGCGCTTGTGCAGTTCTCGCTCACTCACGATGTCGTGCTCGTGTGTTATGTTTCCTGTCAAGGCATCTGTTCTGGTCGCATAGGCACTCTTGGTCACCCTTGTAAGCCCAAGAGAACCGCCTTGGCCACCACGATTTGGGATCGTCTGGAACGAAGTGGGTATAGGCATGTTTCTTCTCGCCGCCTGTTGCATGTCCGTGATAAGAGCACGGTTATGCTTTGAACGGGTTTTCCATTTGCTTGCTCATCGGAAGCTCTCTGGCGCGCGAGGTCTTGCCCATGAGGAAGAGGACCAGGAGGACTAGGATGTGCATGGGGATGAACATGATGTTAATGATGATGCGGATGCTGATGCTGATGATGCTGATGAGGATGCTGATGGGGATTATGTTGAGGATGCTGATGATGAAGAAGAGGCGGATCATACTGGGAATGATGGGATCGGATGGGTGGATGATGATGATAATAATGATAATGATGCTGTTGCTGATGATGATGATGATTATGATGGTGATGATGACGGTGATAATGATGATGATGACGATGGTGATGATGATGGTGATGATGATGATGAGGATGAGGGTGAAGATGATGATGATGATGGGGATGATGATTTTGATGACGATGATGATGGTGATTATGATGATGATGATGATGATGGTGATGGTGATGATGATGATGATGATGGTGATGATGATGCTGATGATGATGATGATGATGATGATGATGATGATGGTGATGATGATGATGATGATGATGATGATGATGATGATGATGATGATGATGATGATGATGATGATGATGATGATGATGATGATGATGATGAATGATGATGATGATGATGATGAGGAGGAGGAGGAGGAGGAGGAGGAATAACAGGATGATGAAAAAGGAGGAGGAGGAGGAGCAGGAAGAGGAGGTGGTGGTGGTGGAGGAGAGGAGGACCGACGAGGGGAGTAGGAGGAGGAGGAGGAGGGGAGGAGGAGGAGGAGGAGGAGGAGGAGGAGGGAGGAGGAGGAGGATGTGGAGGAGGAGGAAGGAGGAGGAGGAGGAGGAGGAGAGAAGAGGCACTGAAGGAGGAAGAGGGGGACTGGGAGAGAGCTAGGGAGGAGGAGGGAGGAGAGGAAGAGAGAGTAGGGAGGAGGAGGAGGAGGAGGAGGAGGAGGAGGAGGAGGAGGAGGAGGACGAGGAAAAGGAGGAGGAGGAGGAAGAGGAAGAGAAGGAGGTGGAGGTGGAGGTGGAAGTTGAGTAGGGAGGGAGTGAGGGTTGGGAAAAGTGGGATGTGAGAAGGCTGGGAGGGAGGGGGGAAGGGAGGAGTCGACAGGAAGGGGTGCGGAAAGGAGCACCGCCGGCGTGGCACTGTCCCTCGCCACGCGCGAGGTACGAGAGCCTCGTCAAGGCGTATGAGAACCAGCTCCTGGAGCCATGCCCGCTCCCGTTGGTCTCCGGTAGGAGCCAGTGCCGCGCCCGTTCCAGTCCCCGTGGTGAGACAACATCCCTCCCGCTCTCGTCGCCCCCCCCTGTCAGCTTTTCCCTGCGGCCTCGTGCCCTCTTTCGCACGGGGGCGGTGCGAGCAGTCGAGCAGTCAAGACGTGCCCGGAATCTCGAGGCTGCTCGCAAGACGCACCGCGTCTGTGTTCCGATTGCGGTGTAGGCTTCTGGAAGCGAGCAGTTCCCTCAGAGAAGGCTTGCGGTGGCCCGGAGGTGGGGTCTGCCTTTCCTGCAATCCTCCTTCCTCCAACTTCCTTGCTCCCTCCCCATCCCATCCTTTCTCCTATGCCTCCCACGTGGGGTCCCAGTAGTAGATGGGGCCGGAGGATGGCGCCCGATGCGTTGGCGATACGGCTCGATGTGGATCATTTTCTCCATGCCGATGGTGCCGATGCATCGCCGACGTCGCCAAAGCATCGCCGATGCATCGGCTACGCATCGGCGGTCATCGGCGATCATCGGCGATGCGGCGCGGTCCTCCGACCCATCTTCTCCGACCCCATTCGTGCGGGTCTCCACTGGAGAAGGCCTGGCTGCGCTCCTCCTCCCTCCCACCACCCTCCGCAGGGTGGATGGTTAGGGCCGCGGCGTTTTGTGTGGCCGCCGGGCAGGGCGTGGCACACATAGATGCTGTGAGCTCCAAACTCGTGGCCCTCCACAGGGGGGGGGGGGGGCCGGACGGGGCCAGGGCGAGGAGAAATCCGTTCCAGAGCGCGCTGGAACGCTCTCAGAGAGCAGGCCAGAACGCTCTGAGAAGGCCGCGGCGCCCGAGGCATCCTCCAGAGCTGCCGGATCTCAGATATTCTCGATGCGTGTGCCATCACCCGATGTTAGCCTCGTCCTGGCTTCGTCTCAGGGGGGTGGGCCCAGGCGGCGCTGCGGAGCACGACGTCCACAGAAACACATCCATACACCACCACCGTGCCTGGCCTGAGCAGGAGGAGGAGGAGCAGGAGGAGGAGGAGAAGGAGCAGGAGGAGGAGGAGGAGAAGGAGGAGGAGCAGGAGGAGGAGGAGGAAGAGGAGGAGGAGGAGGAGGAGGAGGAGGAGGAGCAGGAGGAGTAGGATAATGCCTCACACAGCCCTTTCCCCCTAGGATGGTGTGCAGGCCCTCCCTGGCCGAGGCCAGGAGGGCGTCTATGTATATCTCTCTCTTTATATATATAAATATCAGATACTTATACAATTCTATATATATATGCACATATGTGTATATATACATATGTACAGCTATATATATATATATATATATATATATACTATGCCAGAGCCCAGAGTGGCCCTGGCCTGGCACGGCGGTGGTGTGCAGATGCCTTCTGCGTGTACGACTCAGTCGGGCATGCCTCTCTACAGGAAGACAATTCACAGATAGCCAGAAGATAGTCTCGGTTCGATTTTCCGACAATTTTTGAATATTTTTGGATTATGTGTCAAATTCTTCCAACATCCGCTTGCAGGAAGACATGCCCGACCTAAGTGTATGTCTGAGGAAGGGAAACTACACACAGGCACAACTCAGCGTCGACTTCCAGGCCATCAGGGGAAACGATGGGAAGCTGGAGGGGGAAGACGAGCATCAAGAGAATCTGAGAGATGATGGCACGGCGCCGGTGGTGTGCAGGAGCGGAAAAGCACACACAGACATAACTAAACGTCGACTTCCAGGACCATGCGGGACAACAGAAACATGGAGAGTGGGAGGGGGAGACGAGCATCACGAGAGTATGAGAAAAGGTTGGACATCCTGGGATCTGTGTGTGTGTACTTCTTGGTGTGCCCCTGGGCCCATTCAGCGACGCTTCCTCCTGCCGAGCCGATCCGATCCACCCGTCGCCCCCATCTTCACTCGCAAGGCCCCGCGGGGCACCCTGTGACGCCGGCCAGGGGCGCGTGCCGCAGCCGACCACCTCGTCGCCAGGCAGCTGGCGAGATTCTCGGGAG